CGATCAACGAATTCTAGAAAACAGTTCCCCATAGTTCGAATGGATGCAACTCGAACGGATGTCACCATCAAAATGTATACTACAAAATATCAGACCAGTTATCCAAACCGCCGCACCTCTCTGTTGCGCGATGTCGGCCAGTGTCCGGGTGAGTTTGAGCGGGCTGGCCGTGATGTCCGAGGGGATCCACAGTCCGCCCTTGAGGTCCTCGGTTCGCAGCAGCGGACAATGCAGACGCACCTGGTCCGGCGTCAGCATCTGGAAATCCGTGTCCAGAGACCTGGGGCGGAGTGGGGGACGTCACTGTGGGCTGAGCTAAGACTGGCACGGCAGTTACCGTGACAGACTAATACAAAACTGACACTAAAGCGATCAATATATTAGCAGAGGTGTGACCGACGGAAGATAGTCATAAACGCGACAACTTTCTAAGTGCAGGCCGGCGTCATTCTTCGTTAATCAGCCGCTTCTGCCGCTACTAGCTACTAGGACTTCTCTATAGTTATATCCAGCCCACACCACGGATCCTTCCCTCGCCTTTCCCGTCAACGTACTGTCGAGTACCGAATCTGGGAGCGTGGTGAGCATGGACAGAGAGCACGGTGAGTACGGACTCTATTAGCGCGGTGAGTACGGACTCTATTAGCGCGGTGAGTACTGACTCTGAGAGGGCGGTGAGTTATACTGACTCTGGGATCGTTCAGACTGTGCCAGAGCGCGGTGAGTACCGAATCTGAGACCGCGGCGAGTTATACTGACTCGGATAGTGCGGTGAGCCGGCGGTACTGTTGCATCCTCTCATCGTTCCTGGCCAGGTGCAGACTGCCGTACTCCTCCATGCCCACATCATATCCGGCTTCCGTCAGTCGCCGGAACAGCACCTGACTCTTCCGCACCAGCTTAGACTGGGCGCGCGTCAGCTGGTTCATGGAGACGATGCCGGCCGCCAGACTCGTCACGCCGCTGCCCAGTCTGTGGCGAGGCAGAGCAGACAGACGGTCAGGTCAGGTAGCTGGTAAGATCACAGGACGGCCTGGCAGAAAGGCATTCAAACTAGGCAGATCAAACATTCAAAAAGTGAATTTAAAGAAAATAAGTAGTAGAAAAAGAAAATAAGAATTAAAGAAAATAAGAAAATAAGAAAATTAAAGAAAATAAGAAGGTACAAGCGAACACACGCTGAAAATGACTGCTACTCCGATAGCACGGGCAGTAATTTTGCCTCCTTTGCAACATTTTCTGTCTGGTTTGTACTCACTGTCCGAGGTCTATGAGTTGAGGACGGTATGTAATCACTGGCCGAGATCAACTAGGGTGGTGTGTACTCAGTACTCACTGCCCAACGTCCATGAGGTCGGTGTGTACTCACTGTCCGAGGTCCATGAGGACGGTGTGCGGCGCCAGGCCCCGCTCAGCCAGGTGGTACAGGATGGAGGTGCCCAGCAGCCCGCCGCCGCAGATCACTGTGTCGGCCTCCTCCGGCAGCGGTGGGCGCGGCGCGCCGCCCTGCTGGTAACCGCGCGCCGCCAGCCACACGGGGCCGCGGGCCGCCCGCGACAGCTGGCCCAGCAGCGGCAGCGGCACCGGCAGCGGCGCCATCGTCACCGCGAGAAGTCGGACACCGCTGGCGACAGAACCATACAACAGAGGATGGGCGGGTCAGAACGCACCGAGCTAACTCCACACAGCGCTTATGACAGAATCACGCAGCACAGGATGGGCGGGTCAGGAACTGGTGGCTTCCTGTTTGAGCAACAATGAATACCAACCACGAAGCATGTGCTCTAAGGAGCTGCCTATAAAGATGATTTTTGCTGGAGCCCACATTAAGCAGGGTGCGCTTTGCCTCCCTTCCATCCAATTGGGCAATTTTAGTCAAGGTCTATATTAATGTAAAGCATGGCAATCTTGACTATATATTTGTGACATGGAGGTACTCTCAGCTAGTGTGGCGCAGTGCAGAATGCAGATTCATTGTGGTATGGTGCCAACTGTGCGTGGAGGGGGTGTGGGTGCTAACAAGTTAGGTACCATGCAGAATTACTGTGCAGGAGCTGACTGTTGTCCAAGAAAATGATATAGGTACAGGAATCACAGTGCAGTCAACAAGGGAATAATTGCTCTTTTATTGTAGTTTTAACATCAAAAATGCAAATATCTACCACTTGTGGTAAAAATTTCCAATGTTCAAATCAAATTGATGTGGGCTGGTGAGAACCAGTCCACCTTAGCAGGTGCAACTTGTCAACTCTGTAGTTGTCAACTCTGTCCCCTAAGGCAACAGGAGAATTTAGGGTAGGTACCAAAATCAGCATGTCCATCAAAGCCAGACATGGTATGTCACATTCAACTGACTTCAACTGACTGCAGCTGCTTCCACCAACCACACCATACCCATTGGGAGTTTCTTATATCAAGCATCAGAGCAGCTAGAACGAAGGCCCTAAAATATAGCTAGAACCAAGGCTCTCACTAAATGGACACCAACTGCAGATGCTTTTTTAGCTGAGCTTATCAAATATCAGGCTCATGGTTGCTACAGTAGGGAGAAAGGGTGAAATAACATCCAATATCTGTTATCAACTGCCAAAAAACCTGGGGTGACAGTAACCACATCCAAATGACTTTTTGAGGACTGAAATTGAATTTTCCATGTCAGATTTAATGGAAAAGGACCTCACTCCAAAATTAAAAAAAAGACCTCAAAACCAAAATTATCAGTTTTCCCTGTATCAGTATTTGCTTACGGGAGCACTATACTCAGAAGCATGGCATCATGCACCATAGACGACCTTGCGTGCACCAGTGATGTATTATCGGATAAGAGATGAAAGTGCACTGAATGCTGCTCAAACAGTGAAGCAACAGGAGCAGCGTGAGCGTGTCACCCTGACCCCTATATTGATATTAATTTTAATTCAATTGTACCATAAGAAAAATAGGAGGCACACTAGGGTGACCCGCGTGCTCCGCAACGCGAAAAGGGATATTTTCGATCGGCGGGTGTTCGGTTGTTCTTGTGTCGGTTGGGTTATCTATCCATTTCGGTCGATTGCTTTTTGACGGCTAAACGTTTTGGTTTGTGGAAAAAATATCCACCGCATCGAGGTGCCCGTGTCTGATAAGCATGCTTTCCACTTCAGAATCTGTCAAATGTGCTTTATAATTTAGGCACGTAGTTTTATGACAAATTAAAGGCGTAGATAATTTTTACTAAAAATCGTTTTGCAGAGGTTTGAAACATTTATATTTTTAAGAATACTGTTGCTTGTCATGCAAACGTGATGATTGGATCTTGGAGAGAATTGAATGCTCTTTCCAATGATAGCATTTTGAATTGTCAAACGTATCAGGTTAAGCAGCGAAATCCGTGTAATTATTTAGTGGCACATTTTGGACAAATACCATTTAATTCAGCGATTTTTTCCACATTGTTTTTGATCAATTAGCTTTTCACAATTTTTCCATGAGAGACGGTACATTTTTATTGCTAATAGGCGCTGTTTCAACTCATTCCGTCTGACGATTACCTGAAATTAATATAAATCCCAAAATCCGTCCAAAACGTCCATTTTTCAAAAGAAAGTGTCCTCCCCGGTGCACGTGGCGCGTGCCAACCCCTGTACCGCACACCATTCGATAGCCCGTTCGATTCTCTACACGATGCTGTTTTCCCCGTACCGGTCGGGCCCATGGTTACCGAGATATTGCACCGGGACCGGACCCGTGTCGGGCAAATTTGGCTGTTTTCGCCCGTTTTTGCCAGCCGATTAATACATGTAAAGTCTATGACGCGAATTTGCACTTTTTGGGCACGCGCCACGCGCTCGCTATCGATCCGATCGAGCCGAGACCACTCAAAGGCACGTTGTCCATCCTTGTTCTATAACTTGCGCAAATTTCAGCGCGGTAGGTGCAACGGTGTGATCTGTAACCCGCGCTACGTAGCACCATGTCGCGACCTTCGTAATAGACAGAAACTACGCCCTCCTCAAATAGTAAGTTAGATGACAATCCCGACTCTCTTAACTCGTTCAATAACTGTCTCAACACCCACTGGAGACACCTCCACTTCACCCTGCCCCTACCATACGAGGTAACACTGTCACTCACAAACTCGACTGGATCGGACAATACAGGCCTTGGGCCTCTCAAAATTTTCTGTGCATCTTAAATGAAGGATTATCTGTGTTTGATTAAAATTCTTTCAAGCTGTGGTTACAAATTTGCTTGGCCTGAAAATGCAGTTTTGTAACACTTAGATACCTAACTAGAAAAGCAATATAAAATTGTCATACCTTGACCTGATCAAATCCAACAAAGCAAAATTACAATCACTGCAAGCCGCAAATGCGGGTTCTAATTACTGTTATTTTTTCACAAGCTTCTTCTTTAATTCTTCTTATCCAGAAATTTGAAAAATGCCATATTTCCCAAACACTTCAATATTTTACACTTTAACCCTTGCTTTAACCCCTATTTACGGGTCCCGTCGGCATATATGACGCTCATGCTACAAAAGTGGTGTGAATGAAAACAACGTGTTCAAAATGCTGTTAATGGATCACCAGCTCAGTTGCAAATGAGTACGGTTTATCTTTATTCTCAGCTAATGTAATAGAAAACAAGGATCTTGAAAGGTAACAAACCCCCCAAAGTTGGAACTTTTTAGTTAAATTATTTGATTTTGCTCTAAAAGTCAAATGAAAAATAATTAGTGAATTTAGGCATCAGTTGCATCAGTTGAATTTAGTGCTAGCCTTTTCAATCATTTCCCATGGAAAGCTGTCTTTCTAATAAAAATGCATTAAATTTCAGAGTAATTGCATATTATAGCATTACAGCTGTAGTAAGACGGAAATATAGAAAAAGAAAAGACAGTTTTTAAGTCGTATGTTGCATGGGGCCTAATTAGGGTAATAATATAAGAATTTAGTGGTTGCTACCATCGTTTGCTTCTCATTTCGAGGTCCCATCGTCCCATCCCTCTGACGCCATCAGCAACACCAGCAACACAACAAGCAGCAGTTGACTGGAGGAATTCGTTGAGTGTCGTGGCGGCGCGTAGTCGTGTGTTTCGTGGGGCGTGCACGGGAATGCTAGTGGACAATTCTTTTGCATAAATTGCATTATCTTACGTTTTGGGAGTGAACAACAAGCTGTATGTGGCACTGTGCTAATTCGTCGCGAAGGAATCCATAAAACGGTGGTTTAGGTGCCGGAAAAAGTTGCGTTGCCTGGGCGACTCTGTGAAAGGCGGGTCAGCGATGATTACCGTTATGTGATATTTAATATTTGCTAGTTATTTAAAACCAACATGCTGAAGTTCTTCAGTAAGCGTCATAAAGGGCGCGCTGGGCAGCGTATTGATGGTAACGGAGTGAACGATCAGCATGGAGGGAAACACAACAAGCATATCTTGCAATGCAAGGTTCAGCTTTTAGATGGCACAGATATATCTGTAGAACTTCCAGTAAGTACCTATTTCAGTTTTGCTATAGCTTTTGGTTTTTACTTGCTTAATTTTTGAAGTGGGCATTATTTCCCAAAGCCATACTGGAAGGCCTAGCGATACTGGATTGGAACAACATACTGATGCATGAAATGCTGACATTGTATATGAGGAGAAATGCTGCTGCCTCAATCTTGTTTATGTGTATCAGTTTGGTTGTAATCAGTAGAATGTTAACACCTAAATTGTGACTATGCAATGCCAGCTATTTTGATAATGCTATGTTAACATTCGTATACTTTTATTTCAGAAAAAGGAGCTGGGCCAGGCCCTCTGTGACCAAGTGTTCTACTCTCTGGACCTTATAGAGAAGGACTACTTTGGCCTCCAGTACACAGACCACAACCATGTACAGGTGAGTGTCTGATTCAATAAAATAAGGTACTTCACAGTTCTGAAGCATCAATTATCAATAAAGAATGCATGTCAGTGTATAATATTCCTGGGTATAGGTAGGCACTTTCTCAGCTGAGTACCCAGCCATAGATATTATAACCAGTCATCTTTTGTCATTTTGGTCCAAGATTTACAATTCTTATTTCAAAATGGCATGCAGATTGCAGAAAACCTGTATAATATAGGTACACCTACCTACTACACACTACACAGCTAGCAGGACTTTACCAGGCCACCCAATTTATGCATGGGTCACCCACTACTCAGTATGCACTGACTCAAAAGTGCATTTTGGTATAGGTAATTTCTTGAGCAGTCATTGAGCAGAATATATAGTTGAGATGATCTGTTCATTCTTCATTTCACTGTGACTGGCTATGGTGTCAGGTGCCAGCAATATGATGGCATGATAAAGTTTATTTCTGTTCAAAGGAATGAAACATTCCTTTAGAATGAGTCATATCATGAGATCTGATTTGGCATGTGTGATGTGACTTCAAAACCTACCTATATGATGTGTGTATTGTGAGGTTATCATGCTTTTATGCATTTATAAGTGTGGGACAGTATGGTATAGGTGCAAGACCAATCCCTGTAGCTTTTGTCCCTAAAGGCAGCATTGTGCTTCTGCTGTAATGGAGACCCAGCCAAACCATGAACCTGGAAAGTAGAGTGAACTAGCCAGGTGTTGTAGAACATCTTTGCTGTATTGCTATGTTCAACTCAGTGTTCAGTTATCTGTGGGTCATCTATGGATATGCTTTTAGGGCCTTGGGTATAATAAAGGGCATGCTACTTCCCTTGAGGGTAGTCTGTGTGAGAAGGCTAGTCAGACACACACCATTGCCAGTGATAGTGAACACGAGTTTCCTGGACATCCAGCATCTGCCATCTGGTGTGTATGTTTGGGCCACATTTCGCCAACATATAGTGTCCATCCATCCGTGCTCGATTTTCCACGCACATTTGCGTCCCATTTGTCACGGGGTGAGAAATGGATCGGTCGCCTGGCAGCGGATTGGGTTCCCATGCGGCCGGCGACTGGCGGACTGTTGTCGGCCGTTTCCGTCTCCGCCGCGTTACGTCATTAGATCGAGCATCGGCCGTGGCGAAACGCCGCCGATAAGCATCGCATAATCGTCAGCGGTCTGACGGCGCGGATCTTCATTTGACGCTCTACGTGATGATGGCGTCATAGGGAGACAATCGACTGAGCCGTGCGAGGTGCATACAAAGTCAGCTTCAGAGGTATTGCACGATGTCGTGAACACACACCTCTGCGATCGATCGGTCATTATTATCATCATCAATCGTTACCATCATTAATAGTATTGCTGATGCTGCCTTTTGTCTTCTCAATTCCAATGAATGTGTTGATCAGGACTTTGTTCTGCAGTTCGTTTGTCTGTCCTTGTTTCGTTATTGAAGAACTCGCTAACTTATCTCGCTCTAGCCGGCCATTGAACGTCGTCGGGACACGAGCACATCGCAGTTCAGCTGTCAGCGTCCCCTTCTCTGTCGTTCCTCCGTCTTTGTCGTGACCCTAAAAAATCACAGCTCGTTACTGACTCTCCAGCCCTCCTACCATGTGGGTCCTTGCTCCTCACAACTTCAACCAGCCATGCCCCCTCTTCATTCGTCCCTCTACACATGTCGCCGAAGCCAGTCCTCATTTCTCAGTTCTCCCATGTCGCCTCTCGGGCTCCCGTTCCCCGCTCTTCAGCCCTTGCTGTGTTCTTGGTTTTCCTTACTCATCAGTGTCCTCTCCCAACCGTGTCTCCTCGCTCCTCATTCCTCATCCTGTCGTGTCGTGCTCCTCAGTCACAGCCCAACCCTGTTCCTTAGTGCTCGGCTCCTTGCCGTGTTGTCCCCTCCCTCCTCAACCCTCCAGTCGCATCGTGCCGGCCGCGGTGACGCTGCTGGGAGTGTACCGGCATGTAGTCCCACGGTGCTACGCAGCGGCGCCGACGACAGCCGTCTGACTCCGATCAGTGATCAGCCATGGAGCGCGACAGGTCAGCCGTTGACCGATGGAATCGAAGGGAAGCTCGCTGAGTACCCTGACTTCCCCACGTGGCACTTCTTATGTCATTTTGTTGATCAAGGGTACTTCACTAGGTTTTTCACCCCTTTTTATGGTGAAAATCGGTATGTGGTGGATAATTGAGACATTTTGTTCGGTTCGATGAGTTCATACTGAGTTTTGATGACCAGCGTCTGGAGAATTCCTCCTCAAATGTGAACATGTCCTATAGTTAACTGCCTCTCTGCGGCGTGCTGGGAGCCGTGGGCTCGGCCGCAGCCGGCCGGCTGGCCTGTGGAGGCTGGTTGGGCCGGTCCGCGGGCAGACCGGCCGACCGGCCCAAAACGGCGTGATTTGCAGAAGCCAGGACCACCGGCGCGTTGCGCAACGCCCGCACGGCAATGGGGCTGGCTGGCATTCATGCTTTGTGCCGACTGAGGCGGGGAGTTCATCCCACATAAAGCCTCAAGGCTGGAGCGCTGTGTTGCCTGGATGCCGGGCTGCGCGGTGGGGAGCGAGGCCTGTGCGCGCCTGGTGGCGGAGACTGGGTGGAGGCCTGTGTCAGTGTGTGATGTCTTGGATTTGGCGACCATCAGGGGAAATGATGTGCCCGGGCCCCGCGGGAACTATCGCACTGCAGTGGCCGGATGGTTCTTCACGTATTGTTAGTAAATACCGTGCGATTCGGTAGATGCTGTTGGTCAGACAGATTCGATGGTATCAGGGTTATCTGCTTATCATCGTGAAGTCGTGCAACGCGGCTTTGTCAGAATCGCACCATTATCGTGAAAAGGAGAGCAGCATTGCGCAACAGTATGCTCTTCTTTGTCTGCTTTTAGGTGCATTTTTGATCGAGGCCGGTTTTTGACGGGTTTTGCCGTCGTTTCTGGTGTCTGCATTGAGGTGCTGCGCTTTTTATTAGGATCGACGTTTAGTTGATATATTTATATTTTGTGCTAGCCCATGAACCACTCGTAACAGCACATGCCCTGGGAATGTTCATGGCAGGGTTATTGTGACAGAGTCAGTGACGATGGCACTGACAGTACAATGAGGAAGAGGCTTGTATTTTACCCAGCTTGCGCGCTTATAAAAACGTATACCTGGTTGGCAACTTCCAAACATGGACTGAGCGTGAAGGCTGGCACTGCTTTGATTTACAATGCAGTCTCCAATGTTAATGCAGTGTAACTGTCGTCATGACGTTGAATGTTGCCATGAAAGTGGATTCACTATTTTTTCTGCTTTCGGTTATAACGTTATGTTTGTAAGATACATTGCAGATTAGTTGATGTAATGCTAAATCCGGTTACAGACGAAGGATTTGTTACGAAGGACAAACGTTGACATGGGAATTGAAAATAGCATTGTGCAGGAGAGTTTTTGCTTCTAAAGTTGTGATGCAGCTTTCCTGAATGGCATCGTGAAAGAAAGACCACCAGCGCTGCACCGTACCTCCAACGTGCTCGACGCTACTCTTCTCCAAAGGAACGCTCCAAAAGCATCATTTACATATTTGAACATGATATCATAGGGTTACCGATTCTTATGCTCACCATGCTCTTATCCATAAAGCATTAGGTACCGTACCGCAGCCCATCAGTAGGTATCTGGCCGCGGTGTCTGACGGCACAAACCGGTACCGCTGATCTCAGCCGTGGTCTTCCCGGCCGGCCGGTCGGACGTCGTGCTCCCCACCAGGCCTGAGCTCGCCGCTCGCCTGCCCAGGTGGCCAGGTGATGGCCCGTTTTTGCTGGCTGCGCTGCGGTCTGGCGCGATGGGAAGTGAGGCAGGCCAGGCGTCCGGTGCCGGCGTCTCGCGGTGGCTGTCTCTGATTGCTGCTGTGTGTCTGTCCGTGTGTCGCTCCTGTGACGGCTGTGGTCGGAGGGAGACACGTTCTTGTCGGGTTCGTGGTGGTGGGTGGTGTCTGACGCCACCGGCTGGGACCGTCGGAGTTTGAAGGGCACCTACAGCCTGTACTCCGAGTCAGAGGATCATCCGTGGTGCGGTCATAGGCTCCGGTGACGAGAATTCAGCACCGTCACCGCCGCTGTTAACATTCAGCCGGCGCTCTTCGACGAATGCTGAGGGATCAGCGGCGTCTGTAGTCGCCAGGGGACGGGGACACTGAGCGGCGTTTCCAGACACTCCGAGCAGGGAGGACTAGGGACTTATATTATTCACCCCTCCGGGCAGCGGTGAGGGGCGGTGTTTGCAGAGCACGCGGTGACGGAGGGGAGCTGGATGAGTCACTGGTACGGGGACGCCGGCGGACCCCTGCCGGTCACGTGACCGACGGTCCCTCAGGTGTGGTGAGAGTCACCACAGCTGAGGGCGACTGTCGCCCTGAGAGGGCAGTTTTGTCATATTTTCTCTGCTATTGGCGATGTTTTCTTTAGAAGGTCGGTGTATTTTCCTCAGTGATTTAATGCCATGAAGTATGAACGTGGTTAAGTAGGCAAGGCTTTCATACGGTTCTAGTTTTCCTGAGATTAGTACCCAGCTTCTCCTGCTGTCACTGTGATTGCGTCACTATATCCATTGTTGATTGTCGTCTTTCTTTTCTCGCCAACTCGCTCCTATACACCTGTAGGCATTCCTACGACATTACGACCTTGCCGGCTGCCGCTCCGTGCCTTTCTGACTGTGCCGGTCACCACCCGTTTTGTCATACCCCCACCAGCTGCTGTTGGTGCTGCCAGTTGCCTGTTGATGACTACCTACCGACCCCGTGCCGGCCACCACCAGCCACGGAAGATTGCGTAACCCTCTCAGGTGCTGGGTTTGCGACCGATGTCACGTACCCCCTTGTGGGGTATGGTTAGTTACATGCCGTTTTTAGCTGTTGGAGGCGGGGATAGTACCTATTGAAAACACTTTTGGCAATGGCCAAAACCAAATAGACAACTATGCTGTGATGGGGAGTGGTTGAGGAAATGATGGTGCCCGAAAATCGGTCGCAATGGGCCTTTATCTGGCCGTTGGCACGCCAGCACGTCATGGCGTGGTGTGACGCATCTGTTTGCCAATGGCCGCGTTGCGTGTGTGCCGTCCCATTTCACGGCACAATCCGTCTGATGGAGGCGCCCCGCTCGGTAAATCATCACGTAACCAGCTCGACGGCCGTCACGGCCACCGCGCGCGCTTCCCCCGTCTTTTGGAATAAATGGAGAGGTTGTGCGGACCGGAGCCATCCGCCCCCGCCTGGGTGAGCGTCAACGAGCATCTTATTGATTGTAGCGACATGGCACTTCATTGCTGCCGGCAGTCCAGAGCGGACCACAATGTGGATTTGTGGGTGGTCCGTTCCCGTGGTCTCGTGGAGGATTGTCTGGTTAATCGCCGTATCGGTGAAGCATGGATGTGACGGAATGCCGCATAGCCGTTCCAGAACCGCTGTTCTTCAAATGACAGGTGGTGGCTTTGTTTATGTGTGAATGGGGCCTAGACGCTGACGCCCATTTTGAATGTAAGGTGGAATGGAGGTTATCCGCAAAATAGGTCGAGGGCGTTATGTAGGTATTTGGATTGTGGGCACCTACACGATGTCGGATGTTCTCTTTAGTAAATGTTTCATTCATTCTTTGACTTGGCTTTTTAGCTGAAAAAGCGCCAAGTTTGTCAAAAACCATGTTGGGCTACGATAGCAGCGTGTTAATACCGTAGAGTAGTCTGCCCTTCATTGCAGTGCGTTTTTCATTGAACTCATTTGTGTTTCTAAAGAATGGCTGCTACTTACACCTGAATCAAAAAAGGCCAGTAGTTCCCCCTTCCATGTCCATTCACTCTGTGGTGAGGTGCACGCTTATCTTTCAATATACCACCCGATCCATGCATCACGGCTCTAAAGCCGGCGATTCCACGCGATGAGCCACATGAGTCACTGATAATTCTTCCGTAAGTTTTGTCGTGCCCCTTTTTGCGGCCTCGGCGCCTGCCCGATGGCTGAGAGCGTCTTTTACGGCCCGTGCGCCGTTTGAGGCCCGTTGAGCGGCGTGGCTGGCCGGCCGGCCGGCGCGCTGGCAGGTCACGGGAGGCGCCGATGACGCCGATAGCGGCGGCCAGACCGACTGACACCGGTTTTCCTCTGTTGCAGCACTGGCTCGACCCCACGAAACAAGTCCGGAAACAAGTCAAAAGTGAGTATCGCGACTGATCGGGCTGCGCCGTGCCCTGGAGGCCGGCGCCGCTGCCCCGCCGGCTGCCCCACTCGCGTGTCTCCGCAGACTGTGTGTTCCGGAGCACATCACAGTGCACGTGCCGGACGGTGTAAACACCACTAAATGGGCAAAAATATGGGACAGATAATAACAAAAACACGGGTGTTTTGTCAATGAAACAGCGCAGTTTTGTGTTTTATTTATTTTTGTGGTGTTGTTTTCCTTGGGAACTAAAGGTTAGAATTCGTTAGAGGAGTGAACACAAAGTTTCGTGTTAAATGGAAAGAATTGCAAGATAAAATCTGCGCCTGAATCAAAACCGTGCACTTTCGCATTTATTTCACTGTCTCTACTTACAGCCAATTGCCAAAAGTCAACTCATCGAAGCTGAGCCGAATGATGTTTACAATTTTAATGGCTGGACAAAAGAAAACAATATTTAATCATGTGGACTGTGGACAATATTGCAGCCGGTCTCTACCACTGCTGACGCTTTCGGTACATCACCCACCACCACAGTGACGCGTTGCGCGAGCGTGTTGCGTGCTGCTGCGCCAACGCTGTCAACGCAGGGTAACGCCCAGCGCACTAAATCGGAACGCCCAGCGCCAACGCATCGCATTTATACGCCAAGCTCCAACGCACTATGCTAAGCGGCCAGCGCCAACGCACAACATGTATGGCGTATCCAGCGCCAACGCCGCACATTTGTAAGGCCAATGCCAACGCACATTACTCGTATTTGAACATCCAGCGCCAACGCTCTGTATCATATCATCCAGCATCAGCGCGCCGCATTGCAGCGTTCACAGACAGGTGCCACCCATCGCCGGTACTCGGCTGCACGGCCACACCAGCGCGCTGCGCCGCCGCTCGCCGCCAAGGCCGTCCGGTGTTTGTGTGATGAACCGGCCGGCGTGTTGACGCCTCGGACCGGCCCATAACGAGCTGGACAGACGGCCGGTGTCGGGCCGGCCTGCGTGCCGCCACCCCAGCCGGCCGGCCGGACTGCTGTCCCGGCTAACTAGCATTTTAGACCGACTGGCGTGGCGTGCGGCGTGTGTTGTCAAGTGTCCTGGCCTGATATGAGGTGCGATGACAGAGTTTTGCGCGAAATCTGTTGCACACGTGTCGACGATAAGTTCAGCGAAGCGTTTGTGGATGTTACTGGGAAGTCGGTGACGTGTTGTGAGCGTCTGAGTCTGTTGCGGTCGCGGCGTTTAGCGGTGGCTGTGATCTCGTTTCTTGTTTGCGGTGTTGTGTGTATCGTGTTGTGTGTCTGTGGAGCGTTGTTTACTGTTTTGTTTGCTGTCTGGTGGGTGTTGAGTGCAGTGTGGCGGCTTATGTTGCCGGTAATGCTGCCTCTGCGGTTTCGGTGGCCGCCTTTGACTGTAGCCCGTGTGAATCTGTCGGCGCCTCTGGCAGTGTGGCTCGACCACTTGCGATGTGTGCCTGAGGCGGACGTCAATCCTGGTCTTTTTATGTGAATTATAGCGGGCCATCGGTCGAACTGACAGACCTAACTCCGCGGCTGGACGACTTTGGTCTGAACACAGACTCTAATCGGGCCCCAGACGGCGATATAGGACACCTGTGGAACTCACCTGAGAAGGTGTGCCGCACCGATAAACGGCCCAGGCACAGCGCCAGAGCGGTTCGCTGAAGTCATCCCGGGCTGTTCACGTGGAAATGGGCGGAGTGGTGCGCATTGGATGTGCTTAGGTGTGTGTGTGGGAAAGAAATGACGTAAGACTGAATGCTGGTCAGGCACTACCTGTGTTGGAAGATGCTGAATGAGACAATAGTTCTTTTGCCTTAGAAAATCCGTCGAGTGCGCCTTTGTAACGTTCCAGGCTGCATATCAGCGAAGCTCGATGCAACTATGTTGACGTTTCGATGCTTAGCATTCAAGCTCTGGCGCCACCATTCTAAGAAGCTCTACCCAGCCCTGACAGAATAGCAAACCTTGTATCAACTCTGATACCCCGGTCGGTTGGTCGCGCTGTCCGGACTGCCTGCGCCTCCCTCCTATAGCGAGCTGCCCGCGCTCGTCCCGGCCCCTGCAGCGGACGTCTGCCTGGCGACAGACCTGTTTGGCGTGCGCCGGTCCGCACTGGGGACCGACCCGTGTCTCCCTCCGTCCGGCGCCGTCCGCGGGTTCGCCGGACAGCGCCGCCGCCTGCGCTGCAACCGCGGACGAAATGACACGGTAGTCGGCGGGGATGGATATTGGGTGGTTGGCCGCAGGAAGAGAGACATTCTGAATTGCATCTGCATTTGGTGATAACCTTAGAAGTTACACTTGAATAAGTCGAAAGTTTGATCTGATCAATCGAACGAATGACGTTTTTGCGCAGGGTTTTGGCTATAGCGACTGTTTTTATGCGGCTGTTTTTGCATCGTTATGAGAGTATTGAGTTGAATTGTTGTTCTAGCGTTTGCAGCTCCGCCAATGCTGACACGTACTGTCAGCACTTCACGTATGAAACGCCGGGCGCGGCCTCATCGTTCGGACTTTGTCACTGTGTAGGGCATTCAGGAGCCGCCGCCGTATGTACCATTATCCGAGCTGTGATCGACGGTTTTGCCACCGACCACAAAACGCTTCACGGTAGTGCATACAAAGCTGGTGCCCGCAAAAAGCCGTCTATGTGTGCTGCGTGTGCTGAGGATCTGTGTGCTGTATGTGCTGGGGATGAGTGTGGACTGTGTGTCGGCTGTCGATGGTGCCCCGGTCGGACTGGGTGTGTTCAGGGCTCATCCATGGGTGGCGTCATTCGCCTGTGAAGCGTGTCGTGGATGAGATCCTGTGTATGGGCTAGGTCGTGACTGGACTGGAGATCGCAGTTACGAAGATGATGTTTGTGGTATATTGTGCTCAGGGATTTTCTTTAGCGTGTGTGTAGTTTGTTGTGTTTTGATGCTGCGTTCATGCTTTACAATTTCGTACGGTATTTGTTGAGTCATTCGTTGTAGCAGGTGCACGAAGTGCAGTTTACAAAAGATATGTAAGGAGAATGTCTCAGTCATTTGTCATTCTGCTCACAGCGCTGGCCTTGTTCGTCTGATGGTCACTGACAGCTGTATGGTCGTTTGTTTCAGTCGGACCGCCCTACACGCTACGGCTGCGGATCAAGTTCTACTCCTCCGAGCCCAACAACTTGCATGAGGAGCTAACCAGGTGAGCTTCAGCGCTGATCGTCTCAAAACTGAGCACGGACTCCTATTGTCCTAAGTTCGTGTGCCCGTCAGTGTTACTACAGTGGTATTCCATCCCTCGCGACTCCCCCCCCCCCCATCCACTGTCGCCGGTCTGTTCCGTCCTCTTTACCCTCCCCTTTCATCGTCCCGCGAACCCTCGCAGTTTGTCACCTCTTTGGCGTTTTTGCGCTGAGAGCGTATCTCGCCTGTGCGGCCGCCGCCGCGGGATATCGTGCTCTGATTGCCGTCCAATTTACTGCCTCTGTGATGGTGTGATGGGGTGGGATCGTGGAATCTCCGGTGTGATGGTGAGCTGCGAGGGGAGTGGCAGTTTTTGTTCGGCAGGTGTCTGTGTGCGTGTTGGTCTGTGGAGGTGGGGATGGTGTGGGGATGGGACGGTAGGCTGCGTGTGGCGCGTGAGATCCTTTCTGGCGCGGTCGTGACTCGTTGCAGGCCAGCTGGACGGTGATGCTTTCACTCAGGTGGGCTGTAGGCTTGGCTTGGTGGCCTGGTGGGTCAGGCTCGGTGGGGAGGGGCTGGGGTCGTTCTGTTGAAGGTTACTAGAAAAACATTCACGTGGTGATCGGGGCTCGTGCCTGAGTGCTCTAGCAGCCATTAGAGATCGTGGTCTGTTCGTGATCGTTGGGGCCGTTAATTCGGCTCCACCCCCTACAACCGTGCCCGATATCTCGTGCTATCTCAGCGTACGTTCCCCGGCGTTACAAACGTGTGGTTATCTCGTATTTCCGGGCACTTAGCCTGCCACTATCAGCCGGTACCGGCGGCATGCGGGCCGCAAAAGTCCCCGATCACGAGCGCCTTCGACCGGTTGGGATTTGTCAGAAGGTGCCGTCCGTTATGACCTGTCGAGATACCCGTAATCGGCGGTTGCTGGCCGTGGTTCGCTCATGCTCCGTCATTTGTTTCGTCCGTCTGGGCCCATTTGTAACTGCCGGTGCGGGTGAAACGCTGACCCGGGAGCGTGTCTGTGCAGGCGGCTGATGCATATTTATGATGGTGGATATGTCGATAAGTCAAATTTGTGTCGACCCGTGAGCCGGGCGAGCGAACTGAGTGAGAGCGAGAGGCTTGTTTTGATCGGCCAGGCAGTCATGCCTGTGCGCGGCGTTGACTTATCAGGCCACGTCACGGTCCGAGAACGAGGAATGCTCTCGAGCGGCCGACGATCACGGGGTTGACGACTTCTCGTGGGGCGCGGAACGAGTCGTCGAGCTCGACAAGACGTGCGCTGTCGTGGGTGTTAACTTGATGGAGGCGTGCGACCGGCACTATTCAGTCTGTTTGTCTTGTAACTGCTGGGAAGTTCCATTTGGAACCCGTTATGCGCGCTGGCGTCGGTCGTCGCTCTCCGATTATGTCAACTGTGTCGGCCACCGCCCGTTTACCACGCCCGTCGCCATGTGCCGCTCCGTTTCCCATGCGAACTCGACGGAAACCCACCGCCGGCGCTCGCTGTGGACGCCCGACCAAGGCCGCAAGCCAGGCGTCAGACCAAGGCCGTGCAGAAGCCAAGAAAACTGCGACAACTCAACACGTAACCAAGCAGGCAAAGCAAGACGCCGGACCGGTAAGATAGGACACGTCATAATGCCAGATAGTGCGATTCACACGATATCGGTGAGGCAAGCGTGCAATTGTATGCTCACATGACTAACTGCAGTCAGTAATGCCTGTGGACTTGTTGGTCACTCGCTCACTTTTGTTGTTCGAGGTTCTAAGGTCGAAAAAAGGCCCGGGCGTGCACCGAGGAAGGAATACGGTTAGGCTAGGTAGTGGCGATTGGTCTGCCTTATCGCCGGGGGCTTATTCCTAGCCCCGCTGTGTCGCCCGTGCCTGGCTGAGCTGCCGGCGGACAGGTCGTGTCACTCCCAGGCTGGTTGGTCTCTCTTGCCTCCCTCCCCCATTATGGATGTGACCGGTCGGCGAACAGTGCCCAGAGTCTGCAGCGGTGACGAGTGACGACCACAGTGACTCTGGCCGAGCGCCATGAGCGCTAACGGTGACGCCGTTGTCGTGCCCGGGCCGCTCTGTCGCGTGACCGCCGAGGGCCACGAGGTCCTCACGGGTCACCGGGGTCACACGGAGGGGCGGTCCGACCGGCCTGCCCACGCCACCTCGGCCGCCGCCGTCGTGGACAAGCGTTCGATTATTTTTGACCAACTTTATTAATGTTGGTATTGTCCGAGCCTAAACGGACTCGATCAGTTTGAAGATTAAGGCCGGCGACCGCTGACTTGAGGACCCCATTACGCGTCTGTCGGTAATGGTGGTTGGACGTGAAGAGCGGCCACCGCGGCGGAGCGCCGCTGGAGGCAGTAGGTCGCATTTAATCGGCGGCCCAGTGACAACGAGAGATGGTCGTTAGTCGTGCGGTCGGAGACGGGACCGACGGGACGGCGGCTGGACTGATAGCTGCCTCCGCGCAGAGTGGGGCGGCGCCCCGGGCTGAGCCGCAGAGATCAGAGGGATAGTGGGCGGAGAGTTCAACTGGCCGCCGTGAAACGAGGCTACTGGTGTCTTTATGTTGTGAAATGGAAACTGACTTCAGCTGCCTGTGTCTTTGGACATAATCTGTGCGACCTAATATGAACCGCTGTCCAAATCATTCGATTTCAGTTCGCTGAGTAATGCTTCCACGCTTTTGTCTAAACGATTTCCAATCCGTGCCCGGCCTACCGGAATCCGTTTCAAACCTGTTCACCCATTTCGCCTCTGGAATCCTGCGCCACCTCCCCCGGTTCCAGCCGTTTCGGGCGGCTCTCCACGTGTCCTCTCTCACCTGCCCGGCCTCCCTGCCGCGCTGTCTGCGGCTCTGAGCCGCCCGCCGCGGGCCCGGCCGTCCGCAGCCAGCGCCGCCCCGTGCGTAGGCCGCGCCGCCCGGCCCGGGTCGAAATGTCAAGCGGCGCGCCGGCCGGCCAGCCGTGATCTACGGCATGGAGGGCGCCGGCCGGCCGGGGTCGGGGACCGCGACGGGACGAGAGCGGCCCGCCGCCACAGAGGAAGAAAGGGTAGCCGTACAGACGCTGAATGCATAATTAAGCTGTCCGGGTGTCGCCCCTGCGTGCCTTTTGGTGGCGGGACTGGGTCTAAAACTGCTTTTGTAAGGAGTGTGGAAAAGGATGGTTGTAGGAAGGTCTGAAAGTCTCCTCACTGAGTATTTGGTTAGGTTTGTAACAGTTAAAGCGTTTTCCACCTGTTGCATTTTTATAGCATTTCGTCTGCTCTTTTTCATGCTATCGTGTGTCAGCTGCCGTCCCTAATCCTCTGCCATGTTGACGGAGGGGTAGCTGACCCTCTCAGTCTCTGGTCTCGCGCTAAGCACGGGTGTTTGACCGTCTCAGCCGAGAGTGCGGCTCCGGTAAGCCTGTTTTGTGGCGACAGGGCGGCGGGTCTAACGGTTCAGCCATGGATTCGGCTCCTTTGGTGAGCTGAGGTGACTGGAGCCGGACGAGTGGCCGGTGCTGGTTTACCGGCGCCTGCTGGCTGCTGTACTGCTGGCCAGGGTGACGGGGCGAGAGCCTCTGTCCGTGCATGGGCTATTGTACCGGGATTATATGTCGGATCAGAGTGCAGTGCAGCAGCTCAGCAGTTAGGTGCCATGTGCCTAACCGTGTGCCTAATGTATGAAGGGATAGCGAGTTGATGTTACTTGTGGAGATCACAAGATGTCCTGAAGGGATGATTGGATGTCTCCTCTCCCTGTCTGTGGGGATTGTGGAATGTTCTGAATTGTCTGTGGAAGTTGTGTGTGGTGAGACATCCATAACGGCCTATGCGATTACTCATGCTACATTGGCTTGTCCTTTGCACCCTCCCACTTCTGTCTCTGTATGCCGTGTCCGCAGAGGTGCTGTCCCGTCCTGTCTTGTCCGTCTGGTAGCGTTTCCTCTGCTGTCCTGCCGTGTCATGTGTGTGGCTGCGTGTGTCGTCGATCTATTGTGCTGTCTGTGCCGCCGTGGGCCGCCTCTCTCCCGTTACTGACCGCCGTGTGTCCGTCTGTGCGCCCTCAGGTACCTGTTCTTCCTGCAGCTGAAGCAAGACCTGTACTCTGGCCAGCTGGAGTGTCCTCAGGAGACGGCCGTTCAGCTCGCTGCGCTCTGCGTCCAGTGTGAGTAATGTGCAGGGTCACTGCTTTTGATGGCTGCACGTTGAGACAGCCACCGTGGGGTCTATACAGAACGCGGGGCAATGAACAAAGTGCTGCTGGCTAGGCGATGCGTGTACACTAGTGCAGGGATTATACAGTGCATTGGATGTGCGTACTAGAATCCTGTTACGGCCAGGTTATGAAACATGCCAAGCGGTGACAGCGCACCGCCGTCATCGCCTTTGACATTTAAAGTGCGAATGGCAGCAGCACACCTGTCAGCGGCTGCGCCACAGTCACCAATGCCGTCACCGGTTACCGGTCACCCTCCCATCGCCATCACCACCGCTCACCAAATCGGTCGCCGTGGCCATCACCGCCGCCGGCCGCACGTGGCCGCCGGCCCGTCATCTCCGGCCCGTTAGAATTATTCATGCTATGACGGCGGATCGGTACGCGATTATGGTACCCAGCCGAGTATCGCAACTCTGTCGTCCGCTCCCGGGCCAGCTCGCCAGCTCACGTTTCCATTCCTCGTCTGGAGAGGGGTTTCGACACGGCCTGAACAACTGGCTAGGCGCATATGCATGTGGTTGACGAAAGACGCCGATCGCCAAGAGGTCGGGTCAGCGTTGCGTAGGGTGCGTCTGGCGATGGTATAGGAGGGTGATCTACATTTTGTACATGTCTTATCCTGGCATGTTGTGTCACGAGATAGACAAATGATGGGCGTTCCATCGCGTTTGGTATACATGAAAGATGACGATGGGCGATACTGTTGGGCCGCAGGCGAGGCAGACTGGGTTTATTTTGAACTGACAGGCAAACGCCATGCTTTGTGACTGACAGTGGTGAGCACCATTCCCGTGGGAGACTGGGTCGTCGACAAAAAAATGGCGTCGGCCAAAGTCAGCCACGAGTTAATTACACCTCTGAGACCACGCCCGGCCGACAGTAGAGCCTGGAAACGCGCAGACTGATGTGAAAATCACTGGCCTGCGGTCAGTGGCCATAGAAACATCTCACTAGACGCCGGCGAAACATGTGTTTAAGTTGGCTATGTCCGACTAATCCCAATGAGACTTCGGGCGAGGTAAAATTCCTCATCTAGCCCGGTCTTATCGGACATTTATGTGCTCAGGGAAAACTATCCTCATTCAATCTGGTGCTGAGGGCTTCGTGGCAGAAACAAACAGGCAAGACGGACGAATTCCTGCCAGCGGCTGGCGTTGCCCTCACTATTCAGGCTTTGGTGTGCTCGAGCAGGGCCTCTCACTTTTGTCTTGTGTCGTGATCGTGTAAAATGCGGCCGGCCGACTACTGGCATTGAATGCCTGCGCCGGGGGAGCATGGAGGGCGCATTCCTGACTACCTCACCCACCTGTCAGATGGCATCACCGACCACGGACGGCACGGGACCCGTCTGTGGCACGGCACGGCACGGCACGGCATGACAGAGCGCAAGACGCCAATGCAAGGCACGGGATCGGCGCTGCACAGTGCACACAATGTGGTATAGCGCAGCACGGCACGGGATGGGATGCAAGGAGATAGATGGTCCATCGCCATCGTCTGGTGGTGTTCTGTTCTGATGCTGGCTAGAAACGCCCGCCCTTCATGTGTCTTGGATCTGTGTGCTATTGGACATACACTCGTGCTATTGGAACTAGTGAATTGTGAACTGGATATACTGGAGCAAGTAAAGGCTCCTCGGTGGGTGGGTGCTGTGCGTGAGTGCTGTGACAGGCTCGATACTGTTGGGTTGGCCATGCTGGTGGGACAGCTACCGCCCGGTCTCACGATTAGTCCGAGCATGGACAAACCGAATTGGGGTCGTGAACTTTACGGGGAGGTCATGGGAGTGACTCTTTACTGGACCTGTTGTGGGTTCAGGACTCAAGTAGGTTTGCTGTGGAAGATGTCTGTATTTGACTCGGCTCAGGAACAAGAACTCGGCTGTTTTGGAGAACCTTGCTTTTCGTTCCCACTTGTCGTTTTCTCGGCGACTGGGTTGATCACCCTGTCTACATGTGCCGCTGGCGATGACTGCAGTGCTGGTGAGATGCAGCCGTGTGCACGTGCAGAGCGGTCGTCGCGCCGCCCGCCGGCCGTGGAATGCGGCACACCGGGCACCGCCCGCCGGTCGGCCGGCCTGACCCGGTTACCGGCAGTCTGCTGCGGAAGCCGGCGGCTGATTAGGCCGCCACCTCTGCCACACGGAGCCGGCCCGGCCCAGTACTGGCCTTGGTGGGCTAACCAGAGCAAAATATCGGTAATTGCTGCGTACGGGCCGGGCTGTTTTGGGCACGGCCCGCTGACCCGCATGTGCGGATAATTGCAGGAAACGGCGCTGATTATGCAATCAGGCTGTCAATTTCTTTGTAAGTGGCGGCGTTTCAGAGCCGTGTCTGGGTCATGTGTGTCACACATCATGCAAGGCTGGACCTTGCAGCGGCGGCCGGCTTCTAGTGGGACTTTTACCGATCCTGCGGAGTCGTGCAGCTATCGAGGCACCGTGCGATGCTCGCAGCTGATGCTGCGGAGGGGCCGGTAAAACACAGGCTGCAGACCGGCCCATAGTTCTCAGGACGGCCGGTCTCTGCTGAGAGACGCGTGTGAATCGTCACAGCTCTGTGGCAGATCCCGGTAGCGGCCCATGTTCTCAGCGGGCGGAGGTGGGCGATCAGCTGCGATTGCGGTCAGTAGCAGCGGCGGGTCTGTACGACTGCAAAAATCCACCTGTGATGTTCAGGTGGTAGTAGTGAGGCTGTCAGGTGCTCTGAAACCCCCTCCCCTCCCCTGCACCCAGCGGCCAGATTGTTGGAATTCGTGGCGCCGGGATACTGACGAGCGGTGAAGAATCAGACAGACTATCGTGTGAATGCACCTTACTGCCCGCGTGTTGGCTGGTATTTCTGCCATGAACTAAGCCGTAAAAAGCAGGTGTGTTTTAATTTACTGCATTGTAACAGCTCAGCACGATACTCGGTTAACGTCGAAATCTTCTTTACGTTCCACTTCAGACTCTCTTTAAAACGCTGTAGTTTCATGATCTGTTGTTGGAAACATGGCGTCTGTTTCACTCTGTGTAACCGAGGACGCCGGGGCACAGCCTTGGGCTGGGACGGGTCATCGGTCAGTCACCGCTGTGACCCCTCCGTATCGTAGCGCAGCAGCAATACCCGTATCCGGGTCCGGTGACCGGCACAGGCCCGGCCCGCTCGACCCGCTCACCCGCGGTGTGTCACGCCCCAAATGTCGCCCGTGTCCGCCCACTTCGACCCGCGGCCCGTGACCCTGCCGCCGCGGTGTCCTTGCCAAGGCCGGCCGTCACGGGGTGTCACGTGCAGACTGCCACGTCCACGTCTGTCCAGCGGATGGCACGTCCCAGGGCTTACTACTGCACCTGTCAGTGACGGTCATGGAACATGAATGGGGCTTTACACAGGACGGCGTGTGACGCTGGAATGCGGGAATGCTAGCAAGTGTGCAATATGAATGGATTTAGGTTATAGCATGTATGTATTTCTACTCTTTCTAACTTCACATATAGCAGTAACGAATGTCAATTTAGGTGTAATTTGCGAACCTAATGACATTCTTGTTTTAGTGATGCTTCATTTAGAGTATTCCTTAGTACTGACCTGGCCGTCGCCCTGTGTGTTCACAGCCGAACTAGGCGACTACGACCCAGAGGAGCACTCGGAGGATACCATCTCCCAGTTCCGGTTCGTTCAAGACCAGACCGTCGAGCTGGAGGACGCCATCTTCGAGCAGTACAAAACGCTGGCGTGAGTACAAACGGGAGCGTGCGGAAGGTGCAAACTGTAGGGTGCCGATGGTACGGGGACCCGCAGTTGCTACTGTACACGAACCCCAACTTTAGCCGTCTGTCCTGTCCGGTAACAACCGATAACATTGATATCGACTGCCGGTACCTGTACAAGAGTAGCTGAGGTTTTCTGTGCGTGCCCTCTGACAGCTTACCGTTGTTCCCTGTGAGGGTGCTGGGACAATTTACTCAGGGTCGCTGTACAGTAGCAAATGCGGGTCCCCGTACAAAGAACTTGCGCGAGCACAAACTAGGCTGTGCCGGTGGTACGCGATCCTCGCATAACTGACAAGTATGCCGTTTGAACGGTGCCTATCCAGCTATCGAACGATGCTTGACTAGCACGGCCAAGGTAGTTCGGCGTAACAAGTGTGGCCTGGCTCTACGAATCACAGCATCGAACTCTGGAGACAGCAGCCCTTTGGCTGAACGCAAGGGATCCGTTTGAGATTTGCTTCAATTCACGCCGACCTTCACGGAAACCATGATATGATGGTCAGCGGATCGAATTTTCGCAGGATTTTTCTACAAGAGCCTATTTCTTCCTGCACTTGAAGGCTGAGCGCCTGTCATTTATATCCATTCGTGTCCTCTGGCGACAGCGGTGTGCCACAACCCGGTCCTTCGGTAGCTCGAGCCGAGCTGCCGCGGCTCGGCCGTCCTCCACCGGTGTAATTAGCCAGTGATTACCAGCGGCGCGGCCGGGTACGGCCTCCGTCAGCCGCCGAGTGTCCGAAAACTCGGCGATAAATCAGACTTACCGACCGTACACCGTCACTGGCACTGTGTGGCCGACCGCTGAGCTGGATTAGCGGGGCGGGTGGCTGCCTGCCGCCCGCCCACGCTGGAGATTCGCCCGCGCCCCCGTGACGACCGAGGATTACCGCTAGGGAGCGGGACCGACCCCTGTTGGATATCGGGCAGGGTGGCGTGCGCCGTCTTCCCTGCTGGGTAGTGATCTGATAGTGATTGGGCCCAGTGAGTCCATAAGCTTCAATCAGATGGTTCGATCGGCGACGGCTGGCCGGGGCGGATTAGGTGGGGCTGGGGTCGGGTCACGGGTGGACGGAGTAGGGTTGGTCGACTCAGGTCTGAGTCAGTGGGGTGGAGGACAGGGAGCGGCGCCTACTATAGCACAGCGTCACACCCACGAACATCGCCCCGGGTCTGAATCCAGAGCGGAGTCCTGAGCCCGAGTGTATAGCGGAGCGGCTCCCAGCCTGGCCAGCGCGGGCCAGGTCCGGCCCGCCGCGCCGGCCTGGGAGCGCCCGCCAGTCGCCGGCACCGAGTGTACCGCGCGGCAACGCCGCAACGCGCCGCGGCGGCCGGCGTTCCGTCGTTGACGGACGCCACGGCCGTCTTTGTTGTGGCCGCAGCGCTACCAAATTCGGCAGGTTGGCTGGCTTGACGGCCGCCTGGAGAAGGTTTAGTCAGACGGGAAGGTGGGACGCTCAAACGGAGACAGGCCGGGCTGCGGATGGCGGAGTGGGTTTGGGTGGCTGTGGGACTGTCAGGCTCACCTCAGCTGGGCTGTGGTGCTGGCCTGGACGTCTGGAGACGACAAACAAAGACGGTCGAGTGGTGGCACCGCGCATTCAAACGAAACACTTGTGATGTGACTGCGTCTGTCTAAGCCACACTTTCCTCACGCTGAGTCCAAATCGCATTATGCATGTCCAATCGCTCGACTCCTGATTGGATTACCCGCTCTCTAACCAGATTCCTCATCAGCTGAAGTGCACCCGTTTAACGAACACTCACCGTGGCCCATTTACTGCCGGCTTACCCAACCCGCTCCGCGCTCCGAGCTGGTTTCTTGTGCTGACCGTTTATCGAGCATGGCCAGTCGGATCAGCGGACGGTCCTTTGAAGCCGCCTACTCGGTATGGGCGTCAGCTAACCGGCGGCGGCCGATGACGGCGATGGCGCTGCCGCCCGCTGGGTGATGCCGTCCGATCACAATGCCCACGCGCCGGCGGCGCCGCACAGCGATCGGGTGCGGATCGGCCGTTCCGAACGGACGCGTCCGTCTGGACAACCGGGACAGAAGCCGTATTCACATGTCGCGAGTCAGCTGTGCGGCCTGCGATTCTAAATGGGCTGTCTGGGACGATGTCTGGGCTGGAGGCGGTGCTGTCTGGACCGTGTCGACGCGACGTGGACTGCTGACTGTGGAGTGTGGTCTGAGAGATGCTTTGTGTCGCCGTCGACACGCCCCTGACGTGTCGGACGTTATGCGGCATCCCGCGCCCCGCCCCATGTGTCAGGCACCGGTGGCCGTGCCGGCAGCGACGCTCGGTCGCGCTGTAGTAGCCCCACGCGGTCCGACCGCTCACCGCTCGCCGCCCACCGAACGGTGCTCTCTGTCACGGCGCGGCAGCTCGTGCCGGCCGCGTTGACCGCGCCTGTCTCGGCGGCCGGCTGGCGCCCGCTCTCCGTGCCGTCCCGGTGCCCTGTTTATGCCGTCTGCCCGCTGGAAGCCTCACGATAGCTGCCGGCCGCCCACACCGGCGCGCCGCGGGGTCGCTGCCGAGGTGCCGGCCGGCCGGCCTACATCCAGGGACTGGTCCGGGCTGGTCGCTGATCGGTCACGGGTCGCCCGCCGCCCGGCCGGCACCGGTAAAAACGGCTCCCGGGTCGGGTCGGTGGGGTCGGCAGCGGTGTGGAGCGCCGCGGAGCCGGTCGGAGCAGCGTCCCCCGCTGGGCGAACCGGCGATGTGGGCGGGCCTCGCCGGAAACCGAGCTGGGAAGAGGAGCGACAGTGGGAGGTGGAATAGACAAACGGAACACGCCCCGAGGCTGGCTGATAGTGGATGGGCAGGCGCTGTACCGTACCCGGCCGGGGCTGAGCCGAACTAAGCCTAGGTAACTAAGCCGGTCTAAGCTGAGCTGGGTAGATCAGCAGCGTTAGTGTGTCCGGTTTGGTGCCGCGCTGTGCCGACTGCTGGCCGGCCGAGCCGCCGACTCTGTTGCAGTGAAGTGCGGGCCGGCCGGCGCGGTGAGCGGTCGGTCGGGTCGGGCCGGGCCGGGGCGGTCCGACCGGGACCGTTACTCGGCCGGTCGTCGGGCGCCGCCAGCCCGGCTGCCGCAGCTCGCCACGCCGGCCGCGGTGGGTACCGCATCATCGGTGGCATGGGCACCGGTTACACGGATGCCGAGCATTCCGGCACGATGCACACAGCTGCCGACGGTGCCATCGGGGCCATCGGCGATCAGTGGAGCCGCCCAGTCCTACCTACTGTCAGCTTTCAGACACACAGCTTCTATCAGACCTAGCTTCTGGTGGTCACACCGGTGACGGCTGGCGTCTTTCAATCGTAGAGCTCAGTAGACGCTACTTGGCGGGTCTGTGGCCGCCGGCAGCTCTCAGTGCCGGCCCCTGACTCGCCGTCCGGTGTCTGACCCCGGCGCCTCCCGCTGACACCAGCAGCGCACCAATTGTTGTGTAAATCCCGGCCCGTTTCATCGCTGGCACGCCGCCTCTCTCTGACGCTGGCTCAGCAGCCCCAGTCAGCTGGTCGTCGGGCGACAGCTTGTCATTGACCGATTGTATGCCGTCCGCCCCGCGTCCCTTCCACCCCGACACCGGCCTGACGCTAACGTGACCCCGTGTCGAGGGAATGACTGCCGTTTGTCTGTGGAGCGGACGGTCCGCCTACACTGGACGGCGAGCGTAAACACGGGCTGGTTCAGCGCTGAGTGGCTGTGTCAGCCGAGCTGACCCGGATGGGTCCCTGTCGCAGGCCGCGCTGATGTCACCTGAGTGACGGCTGGTGACTGCTTCACGGTGATCGGCATTTTATTTTGTGTCTTGTTTCACGCATATTTCCTTAAAGTTACTGAGTCTGTTTGATGCATTACGGTTACCGCCTCCGTGAGGTTTATTGCACCTGTTGCGCCCGGTATCGACATTCGGTGTCGTTATTCCGGGTCGTTGTCTGGTCGGATGTCCTTCCGTTGGACGGCCTTTCGGTCGCTCGGTCGGACTTCCGGCGCATGTTTGGTTTGTAGGTATGACACCCCTGCCGACCGCGACCCCGCCCTGGGTGTCGTTGTGACATCAGCCGCCCGCAAATGTGGCGAAATGCTGCAAATTACCGGCCGAGGTTTTCATGCATACGGACAGAAAAACAGCTGGGCCAAGTGCTATTGTTAAAGCTGTTTAAGCTAGTTTAGCTTGTCAAAGGGATCTGTAAGACTGCTTTTAACTGATAACGAGAAGTACCGATATAATTATAGTGCTTACTTTTGTCTATCCAGCGTGCGGAAGAGTCACCACTCACCATAGCCCGTGTTGCCTGGCTGGCTGGACGTTGGACATTGTCGGCCGCTCGGGTACGGTGGGGTAGGGGAGCGCTCCCGTGGCACGTGGCATGTCCTGTCCGCCCCCTCCGGTGGGCTGTATCGATTATTGGCGCCGTCTGGTCGGCAGGTAATGCAGTATTACTGTACCCGGCCCGGCACCGCGGTCAGAATTGATTGGGTGTCACGCAAACCAGCGGTGGGGTGGCTAGCTACGGACTCGTGAGGCGAGGTCCCGTGAGGCAAAATTCCGCTCCTGGTGATGGACAGTGAGTTTTGAGTCCCCTGAGGCCTGGCCTCGGCCTGTGGGCGGACTGATGATGTTCACAAGTGTGTGAGCTTCGGACATCGCCCGCGGCTGGGCGAGGAGCCCAGTTACATCGTCGGTGCCCGAACTCGAAGGTGAATGTCTGAGGAGATATCGGTCAAAGGTCGTTAGTGACAACTGACAGGCCACATCAAAACCATCAAATACTCGTGTCGTGGTCTTGTTCGAACATTTATCACTGCACGTCGTTATTAACTCGGCCATTCGGAGATGAACACAAACAAACTCTCGTCGTACTGTCGGGCGTGACACGGGCGTGGGTGCCGTCAACGTCCATCTGTGATCACTGGAGCAGGACAATAACGGACGGTAATGACCGATCGGCGACA